ACTCTGCAATTTTGTGCTGATTTCACACACTTTGAGAACTCCCAAGCTGCTCAGGCATTTGGCTGGAGAATTGAACCACCCTCTGGAGCAGGAGAGGGAGGAAGAAGAGAGTTTGGATTTTATTTCAAGGCAGATCTGCAGCAGGGAGCACACGGGGTGCCAAAGGCCTGCAGAGACACGAGCAGCTCATGCCACAGAACCAGCACAGGGAGCAGGGAAATGGAAATTCCAGGGAATTTCTGGTGGGGAATCATCCAGCCAGGAGGCCTGGCCCTCTCCCGTGGGCTCCACACACTTTGGGCTCATTCACAAGCAGACAACACAAAGGGAGCACTGGGAGTGCACAGGAGGATCAGCAATGAGCTGCTCCAGGGTGGGCGGCAGCACCTGCCCAGCTGGAGCTGCAGAGGGACAGAAACACAGCAAGAACCAGAGGAAAGGAAAATCCAGGCCCTCCCAGTGCCCCTCACAGCCTGATGGAGAATCCAGAGCTTTTTGGGGGCTCCTCAGGGTGAGGGGCTGAGCTTGGCTGCACAAGCACCCCCACTCCTGACAAACCCTGCAGCAGAGGCAGAAAATCCCCTCATCCCAAGTGCCAAGGTCCTGCTCGAGCAACAGCTGGAGCAGGAGCTTAAAATGTTCCTCATGCTCAGATCTGGAGGCCCTGGAGCAAGAATTTGAGGGAAATCCAATTCATCCTCCTGCTCAGCAGCAGCTGTAGGGAAGCACTGTCAGAGAGAGGAGGATGATGAGGGCCAGGCAGGGGGAGCCTGGCACAGGGCTTGGAGACAGGAGTACACTGAGATCAGCAGATGTCACAACAGCTGTGAGGGAAATGCCTCTTCTAGGATGAAATATCTGCCATGGAGTGGAACTGGGGTGTGACACCACAATTTAATGATTTCCATGTTCCCACCTGGAGCTGTGTCCAACTCTGGGGCCCCCACACAGGAAAAACAGGGACCAGGAGAGGCCACGGAGATGCTGCCAGGGCTGGAGCCCCTCTGCTCTGAGCCAGCCTGGCACAGCTGGGCCTGCTCACCTGGACAGGAGAAGGCTCCAGGGACACCTCAGAGCCCTTTTGGGGCCTGAAGGGGCTCCAGGAGAGCTGCAGAGGGACTGGGGACAAGGCCTGCAGGGACAGGACACAGGGAATGGCTCCCACTGCCACAGGGCAGGGCTGGGTGGGAGATTGGGAATCAGGAATTGTGGAATCCATGCCTGGAATGGATTTCCCAGAGCAGCTGGGGCTGCCCCTGGATCCCTGGCAGTGCCCAAGGCCAGGCTGGACAGGGCTGGGAGCAGCCTGGGACAGTGGGAGGTGTCCCTGCCATGGCAGGGCTGGCACTCGATGGGCTCTGAGGTCCCTTCTAACCCAAACCATTCTGGGATTCTCTGAACATGTCAAGATATTTTGGGCCGAATATTGCAAGATGAAGAAAAGCAGCACCACCCAAGCAAGAGGCCTCTCAGGCTGGACAGGGCCTGGAGCAGCCTGGGACAGTGGGAGGTGTCCCTGCCATGGCAGGGCTGACACTGGATGGGATTTAAGGTCCCTTCCAACACAAACACTCTGGGATTCTGTGACAGTTTTGGAAGAACATTTTGGGCAATAAATTCAGCCATATACTAAAGGGATTCAACTCACCTTCACTGTCCAAGCCCATTTACCCAGGGGTAAGAGTCTCCTCCCAGGCAGTAACTGGGGAAAGCAGACACCAGCACTGCCAGGGGCTCTCTGTGCTATGGAAAGGCCACAAAAATGACCCCAGTGCTTGGGAGATGGAACTTTCCCCACCTCTGCTCTCCAGTCCTTACAAGATGGGAACAATGGCAGCACCTTTGGTCAAAGCTGCATCTCTAAGAGTACAAACCACAAGAAGCCACTCACAGCAGTCCCCAGCACAGAGGATGAGCCTCATCCATCAGTGTGCTGTTCTTTCACAGAGAAAACAACATGCAGTGGGAGACTTTGGAGGAACACAGAGATTTTGCCATTTCCCTCTGCCAGATAACTCTGGTTACCTAGGAACAGACACTTCTCTCTGCGGCCAGTTCTCCTCATCAAGCACAGGATGAGCATTTATTGTCTTGTGATCAGGAGAAAAACACAAAACAAAACCCAGAGCTCCACAGGTGACACGAAACATCACACACAGCCACGGCACGTGACGCCCGGCCACACCAGGAGCCAGGGCCGGGTTAATGGTGTTAAGAACTTTTAGAAATCTAATAATGTAAACATTTAAAAACATACAGAGGAGTCCAAAACAAAAAAAATAAAAAAAATGAAGCCAGTTGTTCAGGCAGCGTGTTGGACTTTCTGGAATTACGGTTTCTGGCACTGAAGAGGAGGGAGGGGATGGGATGGAGCTCCCACCTGGAGGTGCATTGATCTCCACAGGGATCTCAGGCAGTGCAGCCTAACAGGGTGTGAGTTTGGTGTCCAGGCTCCCAGGCACCCCCTCTCCTTGCATCAAACATTTCCAGTGTGGATGAGGGTGGGTGCTTCAACACAGCCCCCAGATTCTCCAAGGGGAAAATCCCAAAGAGAAACAGGATGTGGAGCCCCCACCAACGCTTCTCCTCTTGGCTCCTTCAAAAGCTCCAACTTGACACACCGAAATGGAGCAGGTATCAAATGGTTTGGAGGGATTTTGGCAAGAGGATGGCAAAGGGCAGGACTGAGGGACATGTCCTGGCACCTCCAGCCCTCACCCCCTGGTGCATCCATCGTATTTCCAGGGAGTCAACACCAGGCAGTTCTTCCATCACTCCGATGGCAAGCGACAAAGAACACTTAAAATTACACTTGACACTAGACAAAGGCACCTAAAAGCTTCACAATGCCACCAGGTCATGTTCTGTTCAGCAGGCTCCCAGAGCTTCTCCTGCCAAGCACGTTGCACACTCTCCAGGAAAACCCCTGGTGTTGGGAGCACGTCCCAGAGCCACTGCAGGGGGGTCAGTGTGGCTGTAAACGGAAATTTGGGGAAATCTGGGGAAATCTGGGGTTGCTTTTGCTTTGGCCCTGGTAACACAGGGGTCATGCAGACTCCAGACTGTGCTTCCCTCATTATTTACAGCGTGACAGAGTTAACAGGGAAATTCTGCAGGGGGAAGCAGGAGCTCTCCTCTGTGAGCCGTGATTTCATTAGATAAGGCACATGTAGAGAAAAAATTTCAAAAGATCACTTGCAAATCAATTCCACCTAGCTACTACCATGTCCCTGTCCCTTTCCAGGAGCCAGTTTTGTTTTCCAGTTGCTCAGTTTGAATTTGGGAATTTGGAATAACCCCATCAACAGCCTGCCAAGGCAGCAGGCTCTGGGTCTGATCCCCAGGGTGCCCAACCCCTCCTTGGTCTCCCAAATGGAGCACTTTGTATATTGGCCAAAACTTTGAGAGCCAAAGACTTGGAACACTCACTCCCTATAAAAAAATTGGGAACTGACCTCCCAGTTTGGACAGGTTTTAAAAAATTCACAGCAGGCTGAGGGGGAAGAGGAAACTGCAGCCTTTGCTGCCTGGGTCGCTGTAGGACACAGGGAATTGGATGGCTCAGGCACAGAATGGAGATGAATGACAAGGTGGAGGATAACCTCAGGGACAACAATCCCTCTCAACAGCTTCATCCTCCCTTCAGCTGATGGCTGGAGAAAGGCAGGAATCTCTCTCATGGAAATCCTGCCAGCCAACAGCAGCCATGAGAATTAACAAGCTTCCCTTGGTCTCTCACTGTAATATCTGGAGTTCAGCTACACCAGCAGCAGGCAGAATTAAACTATTCATGGTAACAGAGGTATTTCCAAACCACACTGGGGCTCCAGCACTGAGATCAATCATTATTTTGCATCCAGCACTAAGCCTGGCTGGAAGTTTCATGGTGGGGAAATCTCATGCTGAGCCCCTGTACCAGGGTGAGCATCACCAAGGCCCAGTGTCAGCTCTGCACTGGTTTCCACTGGGCTTTGATTCAGGCTTGAGCAAGCAATCATGGACCTAGGGAGATGAATCTGTACCTTTGGAACACACAGATCCAGCAAGAGGCTTTAGCAGCAGGGAAAGCAAGAGCTGCAGCATCACCACAGTCTGAGCCAGGCAGGAAGGATTTGTGGGGTTTCCCATCCGAGGACTCACCCAGGGCACCTCTGTTACCTGCAGGGTCCTCCCTCAGAGGGTGCAGCTTTCACAAATCACTTCAGCCTCGCCAGTACCAAATAATTTAAGTGCTGCATTTCCCTTAGAGTGAAAAATTCCACATTATTCATCCAGGAGAGCAAACACCAGTTGCTGTGATTGCTTTTGCTACAGAAGGTGTGGTGCTGTGCTGGGCATTCCACGGGAGCTGAGCAGGAGCAGGGGCAGCTGTGGGAGTGTTGCCATCGTGGGGAAGCTGAGCCTTTTCCAGGGATGCTCAGGAGAGGATTCCCTCAAGCAAGGGCAGTGAAGGGTTTGTTCTCAGTCTGCAACGAGGCAAATACTGGTGACTCAAGGCAAACAAAAAGCTTTCTGCCATGGCCGTGCAGTGCAGTGCAAGAGGGAAGGGCTGAGAGCAGGATATTCCTCAGGGATCAGGAGACAAGAACCAGGAAGGTCCTCGAGATGAGTGGGGTGCTTGGGGGGGAATGCAAATGATCTTTTCCAAGAACAAGAATAAAAGGACCAAAAAGGAGAGACTCCAGGCAGTTTGCAGCTGGTGCTGCTTAAGGCCATTGGTTTGCAGAGGGGTAGTTGGGCACTGTGGGGTACTCTGGCAGGCTGTTCCCAGAAAAATTGCTGTACTGGGCCTCCCTGCTGGGAGGGTTCCTCCATGCGCCGCTGTTCCACTCATCTTGAGCCTTCTGGAAGCTTCCACCAGCCCCTCGGTAGATTTTGTGTACCTAAGGGATAAAAGGGAGGACAAGAGGAAGGTCAGCACCAGGAGCCCAGAGCTGAGTCCCTGCAGAGCCACTGGAACAGGACTTGTTCCTGTCTCTGTGAAGAGCTGCATTTCTGAGGAGCAAAGCACAGACAATGCAGTGAACAGAGGTGCAGACAGAGAATATCAACCCAAAACTTGCACACATTCCAGCTGCATGGCCACAGTTCAGGTGGGGATGCCACAGCCCAGGCCAGGGGTGGAAACCTCTCCAGCAGAGTCCAACACCACTGCTGCCACAGAGCTTCTGCTCTCCCTGCCTGCCACAGCTTTCCAGAGTCCCACTATAAATCCTTGTTCCTGCAGAGACAAAATTCCCACCCTGCCATCTGGTTCTCACTGCAGATGCCTCACCATTGACCATCCCAAGGAGCAATAAATCATGGAATCACAGGATTGCTGAGGCTGGGGAAGACCTCCAAGAGCACCAAGTGCAACCATCAGCCCAGCTCCACGCTCATGTTCACCACTGACCCACGTCCCAGGGGCTACATCCACACATTTTTGGAACACTCCCATGGATGATGATTCCACCACATTTTTTGAACACTCCCAAAGATGATGATTCCACCACTACCCTGGGCAGCCTATTCCAACATTTTACAATCCTTTCTGTGAAAATAAATGTTTCCTAATATCCAATCCCAACCTCCCCCCTTCACAGAGCCTCAGGTTGCTCCACATCTGCTTTGCATGACACAAAGCAACATCAGCACATGACACCGTGACAATTTCCAGCCTGAGCTGTCTTGTGCTGTCTGGATTTGTCCTCCAGAAACTCTGAGAGACATCAACTGACTGCACTGTGCAACCTTTCAAAGCACTGATGGCTTGTGGTGGCTGCTGAGCTGCCTCTTCACATTATTGTGATACACAGCAGGGATTCCCCAAGGCACAGAGAGATCTGAAGAATCCCAGAATGGTTTGGGATGGAAGAGACCTCAAAACTCATCTCATTCTGCTCCTGGACACCTTCCATGAGCAGAACTTACCCTTATAATGCAGATGAACATGGCAACTGCTGACATGGTGAACATGATGGCAGGGAACAGCATGAACACAGCAGCTGCCACACTGGTGCTGAAGAAGGTGATGGCTGCCAACCATCCGCTGCAAGAGATACAAAAAGAGACACAATAACATTATAATCTGCTTTTCTAAGTGTCCTTGTTATCAGAAAATTTGTTTAAGTGCTTAGAAGGCCCTGGCACAGGGTGCCCAGAGCAGCTGTGGCTGAGAGTGCCCAGGCCAGGCTGGACAGGGCTTGGAGCAGCCTGGGACAGTGGGAGGTGTCCCTGCCATGGCAGGGGTGGAATGGGATGGGATTTAAGGTCCTTTTCAACCCAAAGCATTCTCTGTTTCTGTGATTCATAACCCAGAAATTACAAGGCAGCTTTTAAGCTCCTGAAAATGAAATGAACAATGAAGACAATTGTCAGAATTGAACGCAGGTATCTCCCTGAGATCTCACCTCCCCTGCCAGCATCCCTCGCTCATCCAGTCTGAGAGCTTTAAGGGACAGCCAGCTGCATGGATTTTGGGAAGAGAAGACATATTCCCAAGGTGCTTTTGGTTGTGCATCTGGAGACCAGAACTGGGATCAGGGAACACCAGGGTGCTGTGATTTACACTCCATCTCCATTCTTTTCCTGGCAAAAACCAGGTGAGACATTGTGGTGGTTTGACCAGGAAGAAGTGGGAATTCTGGATCAGCAATTCTGAAACCAGAGTGTTAAATGGAGTGCTAAGACTTTCCATTACTTGAAGTTTCAGCAGGAATTGCTCTCAGGTCTCTGTAGACAGGAAGTTAAAATGCCAAACAATTATAACACAACCAGGGACAGACACTAACAAGCTCCCATTTATTTTAGGAGAACTCTCACAGTACTTCTCATAGGCCAACAATGAGTCACCACACTGAGCTCACCGTGTGCTGCCAGCACTGAGGGCAGTGCTGAGCCTGACACCGTAAATAAACGGTGAAAGAAATGGACACTGAGGGAAGAGGCTGCAAAGAACAACCAGGTGAAAATCACAGAATTATCTGGGTTGGAAGGGACATTAAAGCCCAGCAGACCTCATGGGTAGGGACATCTTCCACTAGACCAGGTTGCTCCAAGTTCCATCCAACTTGGCCTTGATTTGTGCCCAACACAGCAATGAAACCCCAGTGGTGTGCTGTGACCGTGTTCACAGGGGTCTGAGGATGAGGGAGGAGATGAGGATCTGACTCCATGTTTCAGAAGGCTTGATTTATTATTTTATGATATATATTATATTTCAACTATACTAAAAGAATAGAAGAAAGGATTTCATCAGAAGGCTGGCTAAGAATAGAAAAAGAAGGAATCATAACAAAGGTTTGTGGCTCGGACAGAGAGTCCAAGCCAGCTGACTGTGATTGGCCATTAATTAGAAACAACCACATGAGACCAATCACAGACCCACCTGTTGCATTCCACAGCAGCAGATAATCAATGTTTACATTTTGTTCCTGAGGCCTCTCAGCTTCTCAAGAGAAAAAAATCCTAAGGAAAGGATTTTTCATAAAATATCATGGCTACAAGAGCAGATACAGCTCTGCCACTGAGGAAATCAGAAAACTTCCTCCTCTCCTCCTGTACAGGTTCTTATCAGCCTCTCCAAGCCCATGGGAGCAGCCACAGCCCAGAGCTGCTGGGACATCCCCACTTACCACGCTCCCCATCCGGAGAAGCCGATCGCCTGCAGGACCGTGAGGAGCAACTGAGCCCCAAAGATGAAGAAAAAGGCCATGAAATTAAAGGAACTGTCCGACCTGTGGAGGAAGAAAGGAGGTCAGGGGGCACTGGCACCTTGTGCTGCTCCATGGCTGACCCCACCATCACATCCAAACCCTCCACAGCGGTGGCTCCAGAGCGTTCCCTGCATGGCTGTGCTGGGAGGTTTCTCCCCTTCCCTGGCAGTGAGAGCACACAGCTCCATGACTCAGCAGCACAGATTGTCTCCCATTAATCTGGCTCTTGAAGCTGCCCTCCCCAAGGAATTGCACGTATGATGACACACAGGAGAGGCTGAGGGACACGAGTCTCCTACACAGAGAGTCTGAATCATTCTCTGCCCGAATGTCAGCCCAGCCTGACACCTGCCCAGCTCTGCCCTGCCAAGGAGGCATGCAGGAGTCTGATGCTGGCAGGCAGAGCTTGTCCATGCACTAGAAATGATCACTGAGCAGGAGAATTCCAGCTGGGAACGTCTCAGTGTCTGCTTGTCATCATGTTCCCACACCCATGGTAAATAATCCAGCACTGGGACATCACAGGAGGGAAAACAGCCATGAGAGAGGTGGATGGTGCCCTGAAAGCTGAGGCACACTTCCCATCTCTGCAGGCTCCCCATCCTCAGGATGTACAGGTGAGGTCCTTGAGTTTATGCAGGTACAATAATTAGCATGAAAATGACCCCAAGCAAGATGCTGACCAGAGACATTCACAGCCTCTGTCATGGGTGCACTGGGCCTGGCACTGCCCTGCCAGAACACATCCTCATCCCATCAAACCAGCCACAAAGTTCCTCAAATATCATTTTTTATGATACAAATGATTCTCATACTCCAAGGAACTCAAAGGGACAATGATTTATCTACAGATCTACAAAAAACGCTTCAGGTGCTTGTGAAGCAGTTTGGTACAAAGGGGATTTAAGAAAAGAGCTCCAATCACTGCCAGCTCCTGCTTAAACCCTGAAAGCATTTAAATGCTTATTATTATAATTATTTTTATTATGCTGATGGTTGTTAGTTTTATAATTCTAGCCCCTGATGCCTTGGGAGGAGATGAGGGAGGTGAGCACGTTGAGAAGCCTCCAGCCACACCCACGCTGCTCAGAGCTGCCCGTGCGGGTCTGGTGTCTGTCACAGATGGTGGCTCTGGAAGATTTGTTATCCCTGAGTATCCTCCCAATCCCACCCTCCAAACACCACCTCAGAGTACAGCACTGAGAAAGAAATACTCTAGGCAGGGCCTGCTGACTGTGGTGCCTGTCAGAATCCAATTAACAAGGATTAGGCTCGAGGCTGAGCCTTCAAACAGACTCTTGCAACTCCGGCCTGAAGGAGTTGGAGGAGTCTTCATTTGAAAGGATCTGCAGGAATTAGTGGGGATACAGAGAAAAGGTGATTTCTCATCCAGCTTTCTGGTGCAGATTTGCTACAGCTTTGCCCTAGCACCAAAGCTCTGCAGCTAATTGAATTTGGGATGCAGTGGGATGAGGAAGGTTTTACAGAAGCATCCTCCCAGCACAGGGTGCCAGCACTGAAGGGTGGCCTCCATCAGGACAAGCAGGGCTGATTTTGCCTCTGCAATCACCACTTGTGATCTCTCCTCAGAGATTTCCATCCCAGCTGCTGTCCCAGGGGATGATCCCTGGGCTCCCCACTCTGTCCCTGGGGTTGATTGAATCTTTTTTTAACTGCAAGTCTCTGCACAGAGTAACCTCAGGGACCTCTCAGCATTCACTGCATAAACACATCCAAACAACGTTCAAGGAATAATGAGAAACGGCCCTTGTGGAGCCTGGGGGAGGTCAGCAGGGAGCAGTAATTTTTCCCAGACTTTAGAATGGAAATTCCTCTTTGAACAGAGCTCCAGCACTTGGAGGCCCTGGGGCTTCTGAGCTCAGGATGGGGACAAACTCCAGCCCCACAGGGCAAGAGTTCAGAGCTGGGATTTTCACGTCATTTGGAACTTTGAGACAAATCCAACCCTTCTCTTTCCAGCAGAAATGACCCTCCCCTGTTCTCCATGATGCCACTGCTGATTTAACAGCATCCAGCACCCAGTGCAGTGGGCACACACAGCATCAGCTCAGAAGAGCATTTAAACAATTAATTTATCATGGGCTAGACAGGACCCACCTGTCAGCTCCCATTTCCATCAGCTGCTTTTGCTGTCATCCAAACCAGCTCATCACAGAGTCTGGTGAATAATCAAAATCCAGAGTATCCTCCCAGGAACAGCTTTACCTTCAGAGGGCAAACCCCTGACTGGAGTGTGGGGTGTGGTGGTGGCACTGGGCTGGCCCCTCCTTTCCCTGTGTCAGGCTGGGAACTGCTCAGGACCCTCCTGGCTCTGCCAGGATTTACACATTAATGTTTGAGTGATGCCTCGTGGTCCACAGCAAATGCAAATGATTATTAATTAAAGCAAAAATGTAGGATGGCTTTAAATATTTGTGGAGTTTCAGAAGGACTGGCTCCAGGGAACTGCTTTTATCTAAAAAGCTAAGCAGACAAGCTCTCAAGTAGCTGGAGACAGGAATCAGAAGAGTTCTCAAAAACTAATAATAGTCTTCCATCAAAATAAGCCTCGATGAAGCTTTACCAAATTAGTCCTATTTTAATGCTGCACTGAGATGAGGGTGCTGCTAAGTTTGAGATATTGAAGTAAAATATGAATTTAACCCTCTTAGAAGTGCCAAACTTATGTGACCCTCACCTCCAATCTTATGTGACCTTCAGTCCTGTATCTAGCATTTAGAAACAGCCACATTTTTCTTCATTTTGAAAGTAAACAAGACATTCAGACACGAGGTGCTGAACCAGGGAAACAAGCAGAGAATAATAACAATAACAATAACAATCAGGGAAACTTGCAGAGGGAACTGCTGGGCTGGCACTCACCGAAAGGCTTTGTAGGCAGGTCGGAACCAGCAGATGTAACCACAGGGGCTGAAGAGGATGAGCCAGAGGATGGCCAGGCCAAAGTTGGCCCCAGAGCCTCCCCCGATCCACCAGGCCAGGCAGGCGATGAGGTTCACGGCCAGCGTGATGCAGTAAACTGGGGAGAGGCACAGGAGAGAGCGTGGGCTGCTATTGAAGTTCACCATATATTGAAGTTGGAGGGAGACGACCCACCTTGCGTTGGTCAGCATCGACTCCACTTTATTGATCAATCAGGCACCTTTTATAACAGTGTTAATCAAGCTCATGCATATTGCAAAATCTGAGCTCACAATAGGTCAGAGATAACATACCAACTCCACCTTATGTTTCCAATACCAAGATTTGGGTTCTCAAAATTATTCTTGCTTTCCCAAAACAGCCAAAGATAGAACATCCACTTGTTATGAGAAAGCTGCCTGAGAACTCTGATGTGCAAGGCTCTCAAGG